GGAAGGAAGGAAGGAAGGAAGGAAGGAAGGAAGGAAGGAAGGAAGGAAGGAAGGAAGGAAGGGTATTTTCATATTTTTTGTAAAGTTATTTGGAATTATTTAGGAAAAAAACCCAAATAATTATTGCAGCTTATGTTCCATTGGTAGACAGAACTGGACAAAATCAGGAATTGCAATTATGGAAATGCAAAGAACACTACATTAGATACTACTAGATGACATTAATGGTTGGTCCATTAATGGAAAGAGTTGGATATGAGCTGCCCCTGTTTCCAAAGTTTGTTTGCTAATTTCTTTTAAAATATGAAAAGTAGAAATATTTGTTTTGAATATTTAGTTATACCAGACCAATAAGTAATATCAATTTCAGCTGTGATCAATAGCTCTGTCAGCCCATGGGGACAGTCCACTCAGGGAGTTAGACTGGAAATAGACTTTATTAATGTAGGCTATAGAAACAGAATCTTACTTATAACCCAGGGAATTAGGGCAGAGCCAGTTTGAGTTTGTTTTTTTTTTACTTTCCTCATTTTCTGGGTTTAAAGCATGTTTTTGTAACTCTTGCTGCATAGTTTTTCCAAGGGTATCTTTGTGGCTTTCTATAAATGCTGCCTACAGAGGATGAAATTAATAAACTATGTTTCTCATATATATACAATCCTAGGTTGTATTCCTGGCATATTCAGGCAAGACTGGGGAGGACTTTACCCGAAACTTTATGAACCCATTGCCAGTCCATGTGGAAATCAGGTCTACAGGTCTTATTAATGGCACGGCTCATTAATAAGACTTACTATACTTTTTATGGAAGCATCTTGTAAAACAAGGGCTCTGGTTTTCTAATTTGATGGACATCCCTCAAAAATTAAGTAATATTATATTAATATTGTGTGAATATTTCAGCCATGTGACAGGGACCAGCAAATGTGTCTACTCAATGAAAATTATCTATCCTATTAGGTCTCAATGTAAGGGGACAGGCTCTAGCTATAAGTTCAGCCCATGTACTTGTGTAATTCACATATATTTCACAGGCATATGAGAAATATCAATGTATGCCATCCTCTCACTCCATGTCTATATGATGGAGAGAAAGAAAGAGAGAGCGAGAGCGAGAGATCTATAATGCAGTAACATGATATTGTATTTAATTCCTTTAAATCAAAGTTATGATTTAATATTTGCTGGCTTATCCTCACTGACCTATATGTTCTCTAATACATGGAAGTATTTGTGCAAATATACCTCTTTTCTGTTACATCATGTTCTATTTTCCAAGAATCACTTTTACATATGATTTTTTTGGGGTAACTGACATTGGCCAGGATATTCACAAGGTTGTTTAATACGGGAAAATACTCTTTAATAGTATTTAACTGCTCTGATTTTCACCACTCAGTGCAATGTTTTTTCTAGTTTACAGTATGGAGATCTTTCAGGAAAAATAGGTGATTAATTTAAGATCACAGTTCTGCTTCCATAAACATGCTCTGCTAAACATGAAATGATTATGCTTTAATGGTCTTACAGTTATTATTATGGCAGGCGAAGAATCAAATGTTAAAAATATATTGCCTGCTTTTTTTTAGGGTATATATGAGAGATATGTATTTTCTTCTACTAAAACTTCAATTTCAAATTCAAAAATATTATGAATTTGGGATTAGGCTTTCCCATATTTGTTCCTGTGCAGATTTGTCTTCTATACCTGCAAAGAAAAATTAACTTGCACTAGATCAAAAATGGGATAATGAATCTACAGAAAGCAGAGTGACTTTACAGAAGCTCATTTGATGTACAGTATTTCAGTTTTCCTTGGTTCTTAGAGAACTCACGTAGCATTAATTAAAATCTGTTCACTTCTAAGGCACAATTTACACAATTATTTTGCTTTTCCCCAGGGAGTCCTCCTTGCAATGAGAAATTCTTACTGATTTTTTAAAAAATCACTGATTTATTTATGAATTTAAATATTCACACATTAATGCTTTCCTATTGAGCATATAAATAAACCATATAAATAAAATGAATAAATAAAGTTCTGGATAAAGAAGAAAACACTAGAACAAGCATACATAGAACTAAGTACTAGTTTAATTCTAAAGTTGTGGCACTATTCCAATTACTACAGAATAAGTCTTGTTGCTCCATCAAAGGGCAAAACTGCAGATTTTCCATACTTCTGCAGTTTTTAATGAACGGATGGTGGCTTCAAACGGTTTGCTCAATCATACGGCTTGCATTTATCCATAAATGCTGCTCAAAATACATACTTAGAAATTCTGATGCCTGCATCCAAAACTATTGTTTACAAACACTCTGTAGAACACTGCATTATTTTGTATCCTCTAACAATGATGCTTTAAAAATGATATGTGGTTCCAGAAGGAAAGTAAGTGCTATAAACTAAACATACCTAAAAAGAGTATTGCAATTTTTGGTATTCTCTTGGGTTGAGATACCTCATATAAAAAGGGGAATGAAAGAAGAGATAATGGGATACTTACTGCAAAAAAGATTTGTAGAGAACTGTGAGCCACTTCTATATATTGATATTCAAGAACGCACCCTGACACAGTGATGTAGCGATGGTCTTCTGGGGCCCAATCTGGGGCTGGAGTCACAGATGTCACTGTACAGCCTGGCCCATTTTCCATCCACCAAGACCGGTGCATTGAAATATTGAAGGTCAGAATAAGATCTGTTTCCTGTCAAAGGAAAAAGACAATAAATCATGGGTGGAAGTCCGGTTTGCTGCTTGATTAACAGAATGATGGCTTTATTTCTTTTTTAAAAGAACAGAGTTTTAAAAAACACTTATTTAAAATGGCCTCCAGCTTTAAAATTAAAATTTGCAACTGGACTTGTAATTTGTGATACAAAATTTCAGTAGTTATGATCTCATTCAGCTTCCCCCCCCCCCAAAAAAAGAGATGATGCTGTCTCCTGTATATCCAGTGACAACAAAGCCTACCGACAGAAGGCCACCATCAGCTGAAAGTAACAACCTGTGAAAAGGAACCTGCACAAGTGTTCAGTCAAGCAAGAAAACAAAACCTTTTCTTTGAAATGGCTTCTCAGAATCCAATCATTCCCACAGATTGTTCTTACAGTTCCATTAATGTTTATTATCGATATTGAGCTACCTAATGAAGATTTTGAAATAAAAGATACTAAGGAAGAGGACCTTGGTACAGTAGAAGGCAAAACCTCTGTGGTTACCTAATGAAAACTTCAAGTGGTCAAGCTCTCTCATGTCCAACTGGTCACTGGTTTTGGAAGGAGACAGAAGAAAAAAAGGAGCTCTTACCACAACCACCAGCAAACAATTGTTGCTGCCAGTTCTACAGATCACATTTTAGGACATTCATATAATCTGGATGCCCTCAAGATGTATAGACCAACTCCCATAAGACTTAGTTAGGGCTATGCTGGCTGGGGAATTCTGGGAGTTGAAGTTCAAGCATCTGGAGGGTGCTCAGCTTGGGGAAGATTGATAAATAGTATGGTTACAGCTTAACTTCTGCTTATTACTGAAAAAAAAAACAAGACCAAAATCCTGCTATCAAAGTACTAAAAATACTTTATTTCATTATTGCTCATACGTTCTACTGTATTTTGGAGTGTTAATAATTTTTAAAGAGAAAATTCCTATATTATCTGTACATGGACTGTGCATACAACTGACTAAACTTATTTAAATGGACTCTAAACACATCTGCAGTAACAAGAGAGCTCTCTCTCCAATCCTTTTCTTAAGTAGCTGCTTGTTTTCTATTTAACTTCTGTGTTTCAAAGAATGCTCAAAGAAACAGCTGCCTATAACTTGTAGATCTTAGCAGGTAATATTGAAACATCTTGGACATTTCAGTATTGTGCTCGTCTTTATGTCCATATTTTGGATGAATTTATACTCCCAACACAACCAACAGTTATTTCTACTTTGGGACAAGTACTATATTTGTGCAAGTTCTGTTTATTGCCTCTGAACACAATGATTGGCAATTCCTGGTGATATCTACAACTATTCATGAAGGATAATTTGTTAAAGGAATTTAGCACACAAGGCAAGAATGGAATCTCCTAAAAATCTATGTCGCTTCACATTCTTTTTGTGTGAAAAAAATAACACAGCAGAGGTCAACAATGGGTTTACATCACAGGAAGAATTAATTTCTTAGAGACACTGATGTCAGTAAGTTAATCTCCCTTTAAAAAAATGATTGTCTTCTCATGTTAGGGTGATCAAGCAAGACTTATACCTAAACTTCAGTTAGCACATCCAAATGATATAATTTGGTGAAAAAAAGGTATTCATTCCCTTCTGGATTTTCTGATTGTTTGCATATCTTTGACACTGAATATTAATACTAAGACCCTCAGAACCCTAGAGCCTCCCTTGCCTTTGCTAAAGTCAGTGTACATAATTCCACCTTCAAAAAAGGCAGTGGGTGAAAATAGGATTCATGGGAAAAATAGCCAGGGGGAAGCCATTGCTCACAAAGGCAACCATTGATGGTCATCTCAGGTCTGCCAAACGTCTGGAGGAATGTTCTATGGACAGATGAGTCAAAAGTAAAATACTAGGACTAAATGAATGTTGTTACGTCTGATGGAAGTGAACCATTACATTCCACAATAAGAACCTCATATTAACTGTGGAGCATGAAGGTGGTAATGTCATGGTTTGGGGATATTTTGTTGATGGCTTACTTGCCATCACTAAAGTAAGCAGAAATTTTTCTTTCAGGCCATCTGTCCATTAGCACAAACTGATGTGTGTCATGTTTTGGAGCGGCCAAGTGAATGTCAGACTTAAACCACATGCACATGCTGTGGCAGGACCTGATTATGCTAGGAAACCCTCAGATATTACTGAGGTCACCATGAAGGAATGAACCAAAATGCCTACACAGGGACATAGGAGGCTGATCACCAAATGCAGGAAGCATTTGGTTGCAGTTATTGCCACTAACATTACTCAACTGAAGAGGATGATTCCTTTTTTACACTGGTGCCTCACACTTATTGGATTATTTTGCTTATGAAATAAATGAAACAAGCACCAAAAGCTGGTGTTATTTTTTTCATTCAGATTCTTTTTATTTATTAATACCACCCACCTGAAGCTCTGATAAGATACAGTACAAAGTTATACAAAGTTTCTTAAGAAATTACAACAGTCATCCAGTAAGGTCCTCTTAATAACTTATAACTGACTGAAGAATAAGAATATTAATAAAAGGAACCATTTTATTAATAAGAATATTAATAAAAGGAATCATACTATCACAGTGAAGAGATGCAAAGTTGAATACAGGTAGTCCTTGTTTAGTGACCACAATTGGGACTGGCAATTTGGTCATTAAGTGAAGCAGTCACTAAGTGAAACTGCAACTGTGCTTATGATCTTACATCTGCTTTCCTTTGCTTTACAGACCTGCGAAGGCTGTAAATATGAAGATTGGTCATAAAGTTACTTATTCATCGCTGTTGGAACTGCGAATGATCGCTAAATGAAGGAGTTGCTAAATGAGGACTACCTGAACTCAGAAGATCTGCATTGGGACTAAAGTGTGTCTCTCTCTGTGTGTGAATAATTTAGAGTTAGAGGTGAATTTTAATGTGGTCATTTTTGCAGGTGACACCAGCTTATTCAGGATTATCCCATCAAATTGTTGAATGGGCAATGAACAGACAAAGTAGTTCACTATAAATGTAAAAATAGAACACTGGACTTTTGGAGTTAAATATTCCAGCTATATATATTCTGTAGTAAGATCAGAACTGACTAATCAGAAAAGAGACCTTGAGGTCATAACAGAGAAGGTGATAAAAACTCCAATCCATTGCATGCTAGGTATCATTAGAAAAGAGAGGAGAAGTAAAACTGTCATATCATACTGGTGTGGTGACTGTACTTTGGCTATGATGTGGTGTTCTGATTACTGCATTTCAAAAAAGATAATGTAGGGCTAGAAAAGATGAAAGTGCAGGAAAAGTGATCAAAAGGGAAAAGCAACTCCCAAAGGAGAAAAGGTAACAAAATGTCAAGCTTTTAAATTTAATTTAGTTTAGTCTGGGATAGGGACAATATTTGTCATATGTTGTCTGGTGAAGTGGGTAGAAATAAGTTTTTCTTTGTTTTTCATTCTAGTTCAACCTAGTTTTGTCCAGTAAAACTGAACATTGGAAATCCAGAACAGACAAAAGAAAAATACTTCCCACAAAGCAAATAGTTAAACTATGGAATTCGTTGCCACGAGATGATGTGACAGCTTTTAAAGGGGCTTGGTTAAATTCATAAAAGTTAAGGCTATGAATACCTCTTCATTACTCTGGTTAAATACTTCCTCCAGGATCAACTTCTCAATGAAATAACAGGGGAGATTAAATGGGCTGGCCTAAACCTATTTCTAAGTTGAATCAGTGGTGGCTGTTAGCAGTAGCCTGGCTAGAAAAGAAGAGGCTGTAGTTTCAGGCCAAATGAAATGCAATGTTGGAAAAACTTTATCTGGATCTCCTTTGTGGTTGTCTCCTGAAGATAAAAGCTCCTGTTTGGGGACAGCATTGAATATGGGCTGTGGCACTGGGGGTGGGTGTCTTTTTCCTATTCTAAATTTCCTCTCCTTGTTGTTGATATGTTTCTCCCATTGGGGGAAGAAAGGATCAGCTTTAAAATCAGGAAAATGGGGTGGTGGAAAAGGGTTCAAACTTACTTCTGCTAGCCTTGTTGCTGTGACCCCATTCTTGTTCCCACTGCCCCAGCTGCTCTGACCTGTTGTTCCGTTTAGGTTGGCCCTTCCAGCACACCAAAGTCAAAGGATTGCAGTCTGATCACAGGATAATATCAAAGACCTTTTCTGTGTAGAACCCTGGATAGCAATTAGTGAGTTTACATGTCCTTAAAAGTTTTCAGCAGTTAGCCCATCATTGCAAGTATTTTCTTTATACTTGAGCTGACTTTTGCTCACTTTCAAGTTGAGATAAGCAAGCTCAGTGATGGAGAACCTTTTCTGAACAGCTCAGCTGAGCGCAAGAAAATAATAAAAAGTTCTCTGATTTGTGTCAAAATCCTCTGAAGTAATTACAGCTGAGACTAGGCAGTGAAAAGCCCACAGAGTAAGGGGGTGCAAATCATTCCACATCTAATCCATGTCAGCATGGCAAGGCATGTATTAGCCCATTCAGTCAAGTGTCCTATAAATTAGGTAACCTATCCCAAAATATTAGGGTGCTGTTATTTTATACAATTTTCTTTGTAAACTTCTTTCCCTTGCATATAAAAGCTTCTATGCTACTGTCACTGAAACACACTTATCTGTACATAACTATTACAAATACATCCGATTTGGTATGCTATCTTTTAAAACATACATGGTTTTGTATGCAGTTTTTAAGATAGGAAATATTTGATGATAAACACCATGACATGTCTGCTTGTCCCACAGATTTGGCATAAAGAAACTAAGTGCTATTGGGAAAGTTCCCAAATTGAAATATTCATTTTATATCAGTCGACTCTATCCTGATTCTACCAATGGTGATAGAATATATCTCCCATCATCCACAGCTAATGCAACTAGAGTGCATTAATAGTCTATGATATTGTTAGCAGAGTTAGGGTTAAGACTGAGGGAATGGTCTCTTGCAGTTTGAAAAGTAATTTAACATAACCTGTTAGTGAAGTTTTTCTTGCAACTTGATG